GCCCATTGAAACAAAGTAATTAGTAATACAATTAATTATGACTGATTGACTAGTGTGGGTATATACAATATTGGGATTCGGGGGTCGATATATACATGGTATATTTTTGTTTCCTTTATCATTTTTTTCGATCAATGCCGCATAAAAAGTTTATATTGAATTTATCTCTGTGGACAAATAGGATTCCTTCATTTGCATAAATTGTTACTCTTCTACTATCACATTTGTTTGTGAGAATTAAATCAAGGTCATTTCTTGCCAATGTGTATCATCATCACCCTCATCATCATCATCGTCATTGTCACCATTATTAGCAGCAACACGTTTAACAATAGGGCTATAGTTAGATACATTCCTAATATACATATATGTCATAGGCATATACATATTTGGATAAATATTATTGTAATTACTGTCATATGGTTTAGCTATATTAAATTGTTTTAAAGGGCTAGGAGCATTTTCGGCACGTTCGTCTTGGCCAGTTTTTCACAAACGATCTCTGTGTCCATTGCTGCAGTGTTTATTGAAAGTATAGCATATTATAGGCTTGCCATACATACAACTGTCCTTCATATGGTTGATTTCTCCACAATAGTAGCATCCTCTTAATTTTCCAATAGGCTTATATTTGTTTCCATCACGGTGACGTATTGCGTTTATTGAAGTTTCTACTGGTTAATAAGCAGCGTTCGGGCCTGTATAATTTTTTATTTGGTTGGTGGTGTTGATTTCGTCTTGTTGATTTGTTTCCATTTTCTACAGATAAATTGCGTATATTCTTTATGATCCGTATATGCTTATCATAGTTTGTAAGTAATCGTTTAATTCCCAGCTTAGTTAAGTGTAACCCATCAGGCAACAATGTTGTAGTGTCTATGGAGTCATCCCGCATTTTGAAATTATTATCGTTATCTATAAAAACACTTTGTGTGTTGCAATATTCCTGGGTTTGGTATTGAGTGTATGAACATGATATCATCAGATGGTGGTCAAATACTGAAGTAGATATCGCACAAGAATCATTAGTACTCCCTTGTAAAATGATAGATGCAAAATTGTCAACCTCCAGTTCTAGTATGCGTGATTGAATATCAAGTACGTTTTTACTACGCAAACATTTGACAGTCGCTTGTTCCAATCCCCTTTCACTGATACCTCTCAACAGAGAATGTCTTATAATCCCTGGGAAATTTCTTTTAAAGTTCAGTCTTATTCATCAGTTCCCTATCTATAGGGCCTATGTGTTGGTTCCTTATCTGTATATTGGTACGGCCTTATTTTTATTTTTATTTTCAACTATCATCATTAACTTTTTATTTTCTTCTTCCAGAGAAATTATTCGGTTTTCCTGCTGGTTTACTTTTATTGTCAAACTGTTAATGATTTCTTGAAAGTTTGACATAAGGTTGGGGATTCGTTTGCAATTGATACAGTACCAAACATATAGACATTCAACAGTGCTAATTTCGTAGTGGATTGTGATGGTTGGGATAGTATGTCTGATTATTGAGTCATTCTTATCCTGGTCAGATGTCGACGTATCATGGTAAATTAGATCCTTCTGCCGCCATACGTTATAATTAGTGATGTCAAGTTTGTTCCGTTAGATGCCCTGATAGGTTGTTCTTGCTTGAGTGAGTAGTGAAACACAACAGAATGAATACAGTAGAACAACACCTTTGCTCTAGTCCCATCGCTCATGGTCCCGGTTTACAGTAATCGTGTCTATTGTAAATGGGCTTAAGAAAGAGTTCCATAGCATACCCCTATTAGGCTATCGAGCGGATTTTGAATTTGGCTTTCAGTAGGCCCAGAAAAGCACTAGTTTTCAAGTATTACTATCAGGTTGCATTGACCAAATGACTGTATCTGGGTGGGGTCACTTACGTTTGTACATCAGTTTGTTGTGAAATCAAATTCGATACTCACAACCAAGTGAAATTTAGTATTATTTACAGACAAAATCCTGTTCGTTATGACAACACTTATGACGTAATTAGAATCAAGATTTTTATTCTGTTGCCCATAAATTATTTCAACCACAAGTGATTTATTCCTACCTATATATATTTCCAACCGTAATGTCTCAGAATTACATATATTATAATTAATTATCTTATAGTTTAATGATTCATGTATATAACCTCCGACTCCTCACACTCTTTGTTCTATCCGACAATTAATTTTTAATGAATAATGATTTAACTAGTTTAGTCCTTTATTTAAAACTTGCCAAACTTCAGAAAGTGCTATAATTTTCAACTTACTCTGAGCTAATTATTCATAAAATATTTTAAGGTCCTCAAATATTTTACATCAAATCGGATATTATATTAATGTGCAATAACGAAAATGTTGATTCAGGCTTACTGCAAATCAAATTACAAAACTCAGTTGAAGAATATGACATAGGCCTACAATCACCACTTATTTTATTATGTTGTCCATATTCGGGTTTGGCATCATACTTAAAAGCGGCACCATGCATATATTCTAGATGATTATTGATGACTTTTTTGTAGATCCTCCTCGGTATTTATGACAATCAACACCGGCCTTTGTTGCTTGCGTGCATAATGCGTCCAACTGTATGTTCACAAATAACTATAGTTTCTTTCCCCATAAAGTTACGTTTCTTTTGTGTCAGATTTGATATATATGTGATTTTCCCCAGGAAAACTAAAGTAAATCTGGCGTGGTTTTATAATTTTTCTTCCATATTTATATATTTTATGGAGTTTCTTCCTGCTGTTAAATTTTAAAATTATTGGCCTGTTCAAACTGTCACCATTTCCTATTCTGTGAGTTACTTCAAATTCTCTATCTTAACAACTGCTAGTACTCTTACATCCGTGTTTTCTTTTGAGATTTGACGTATACCTTGTATCTCAATATTTTCTCTTCTACTATATTGATTTTGTTTCTCTCTAAAAAAGAGTAGTTTACATACTCTTTTCTTCAAATCATCATTATCTTCTTTTAAAGCTTTGTTATCTCGCTAAATTTCTTTGATTTTTCCACACATTTATTCGACTAGTGAATATAATTCATGGAATCTGATATGGACTTCTAGAAATAATTAATTTCTTTCACAATTTACCTGAAGCTCGGTTTCCATACAATCGCTACAAAGCTATCCTGATAGGTCTTCAACGAAGTCGGCAAATTTGAACCAGGTTCATCCTTCCCGATTCATCGACAACGAATCGTAACTATTGACCAATCATCAGCCGGCTTTGGATGTTGACGTCATCAGCTTTTCTTCAGATGAACGATTTCCGAATGTATAATTTGGCAACGCGACCATAAGAAGCAAGATTTTGATCAACATACTCGTTTTTACTATTAGAAAATATTGTTGCCTGTACCATCAGATTTGAAAAATATGTAATGGGAAATGCATGGTCAATCGACAGTAGCTAAGAATTCAAGGTAGGTTGGTAGGGCTGGTGGTGGTAGTAGGTAGGTAGGTAGGAGTACTCCCTAGGCCTAACCTACTAGTTAGTAGTAGAGACCTACCTAGCGCAAAGCTAGGCTAGCACAAAGCACAAAAAAAACATGCAGATAATAAACAATTAATATACACAAAAAAATATCCTAGACCTCTATAAAGGCCTAGGCTAGGCCTTTAGGCCTATAGATGATAATACGTTTTACCTAGGTTAGGCCCAGGGGTCTAGAATAGGCGAGGGGCTACATTGATTGTTGTTGAGGATAATTACGTTCAAAATATATA